AATGAGGGCAGTGCACCGTGCAATCACCTGCAAACAATCACCGAGCAAACATCCACCTCAGCTAGCCCTGAACCCCTAAACCAAAACCCTTGTGATACTCAGAGTCTCAGTCTCTGTCCTTGAGACAGTCGTGAGACAGATGAGGGAAATCTTCGGACCGTCTCTTACACCTGTTCATATCTTTCTTCCCCATTGCTAAAGACCTTATTAAACAGGAGAATTTTTTCACCCCAGGTCTCCCGTGCCTCTGATTCCTGGGCATGTAAGCTTAACTTGGTCCTTAAAAATGCTTACTGCACTGTTGTCTTTTAAGCAAGGCAAACACCCTGATTCAAGGAACAGCACAGTGGCCTCCCCTGGCCACTCAGTCCATTACCCACAGACACCAATGTGATGGATGGCAAAAATGGCGTTTATTGCTGGAGAAATTGACATTTTATAACCTAGGGTCACTGTGTTACTCCCATCTGCTTTCATCACAGCTAGGTGCTATTGGCTAATTGCAGGAGTCATTACCATACTAAAGAGGAGGGGGGGTTACTAACTTTCTGTTACATTCCGATATCTTCTGAGCGCCGGGCTTTACTTCTACATATTCCCCCCTCTCCATGCATAACTAATTTGCTAGAATATAAGGTGTATTAGTCTTAAAAGGTTCTAATGTTATTTTCTATATATCTATCTCTAAACATTTTGTCTAACTTATCTATATTATAAAAAGTTTTAAAAGTAGATATTATAAACTTGAGAAAAATATAGGGTACACTATACTTAACGAAAAGGCTAAAAACTTATAAAATAGATACTGCAGTTTTTCATTAGTAAGCATAAGGCACATGCAGTGACTAAGTGTATTTTTAAAGCACCTGTTGCCTTTCTATAAACAGGATGTTGACTTTTTCTAGTTGGCTCTTAACAAAGGTACAAGCTTATTTAAAACACAGTTTTTCAATTATCTGCAAGTCCTTATCAATTGTCATTTGTAGCTGAGACAGTCTCTGTTGTTGGGTCACGATGGTACAGACACTTGTGGCAGCACCAGTTGCTCCCAGGCCAAGCAGCATTGCTATGGTCACACCTGTCACCAGTTCTCTTTTCTGAAGTCGGTTGAGTCTCTTCACCTGCAGGTTCAACTCTTCATCCAGGTGGTACAGGACCCTGGGAACAATCACAACTTGCACACAAAAATCGTTAGAAACACTGCAGTTACAAACTGATAGGCATGTGGTAATCATTGTTGTGTCTGTGCCCATCAGCCACTGCAGGCTGGAGCCTTGCAGTTTAGGATTTATTGGTGAGAGAACTCTCTGCCCCCCTCTGTCACCTGGACTGGGAATGCTAGTGCAGCTGAAGGGACCCAGCTGGCATATGCAGATTTTATCTGTCCCCAGTCTGTGAGAGCAGTATCCTCTCTCAGTTCTTTTTTAATGTGGAGGGGGGTATTCTTGTTTATCTTTGTTGCTTTCTCCTCTAAGGACTTAGTCTCCAACCGTTCATCCTCACTAGTAGCTCTGTCGGAGCCCGAACTCGACTGGCTGGCCATTTCCTGTTTCCCGTGCCTTTTTGTTGGGCTCCGGCCCCGCCTACACCCCTGTGGGCGGGCTGTTCCCTCCCTCCTGGCTCTCCCCGCCTTTTACTCCGCCTTTCACCCCACCCTTCACTCCACCTTTCACTCCACCTTTCACTTACATTCCTTTCCCCCTCCCTCATACACCTTCCCCGCATCCTTCTTCACATTCCTATCTCTCCCAACCTCCCAACTGTGTTCATCTCTCAATGCTAGCGTTTGTTCTTTGTTTTCACTAAGGACATTCCTTTCCCGCTCTATATCTTTTTGCTCAGTGCCATTTTTAGGCACTTCTTGGGGCAGTGGTTCCCCCTGGGCTTTTCCCACAAGCACCCCTGGCTTTTTCTGTTAACTTTCTCAAAAAATCTCCTGCTCTCTGCTGTTTCTCTGAGAGCAGATCAGGGTTCGGGGATTGAGGGGATGCATCACCCTCTTGGGCCCCTTTTGGCTCAGCTGAGCTGCTCTCGCCTGGGGACTGTGAAGCCTGAGTGGCTGCTCTGACCCCAAATTTTGGGGTGACCAACAAACAGTTTCTTGCCACCTTCCAGGTCACTTTGGCAAGGGTTTTAGTGCATCTGTCCCACACCTTAGGGTGGATAATCTTTACTAGCTGATTTATGACCCCAATATACAAAAGCCTTGCAATAGCAAGAGTAAAAGAATTAGGTTTACAATTTAATTGCAATCTGACCTTTATCAGGGCTTTCATCTTCCTTCTGGATGCAGGGACGTCTCCCTCGCCAGGACTAGTCCAGCTGGTCCCGACTGCTGCTCCCGTTTTCCAGGCAACCCTCGCTTTCTGGGTTTGAATCCCGCTTTTCTTCCTGGGTTTCAGGCACCAAATGTTGTCTTTTAAGCAAGGCAAACACCCTGGTTCAAGGAACAGCATGGTGGCCTCCCCTGGCCACTCAGTCCATTACCCCCAGACTCCAATGTGATGGATGGCGAAAATGGCGTTTATTGCTGGAGAAATTGACATTTTATAACCTAGAGTCACTGTGTTACTCCCATCTGCTTTCATCACAGCTAGGTGCTATTGGCTAATTGCAGGAGTCATTACCATACTAAAGAGGAGGGGGGGTTACTAACTTTCTGTTACATTCCGATATCTTCCGAACACCGGGCCTTACTTCTACACTGCACCAAACCACTGTGCGACTGGGGATTTTTATTAAGGATTAAGGGTTTCACACAACCAAGCATACACCCCAATCGCTTTGTCCTTCTCTAGCCACTTGTGGTCACCTGGAGTAGAACCATAGACAGGGACTCCCCACTCGCCCCGTGCTGATAGCACATCTCAAACACACACTTTTGCTCACCTTTCAGGACACACACACAAGACAATAACTAATCACAAATTGCTACCGGGCTCAAATTGTACAAAGTACTGTGTGAACTATATTTGTGGCACTTCCCAAAGTCATGGGTCGGATCCTTCTAGATCCTTCCTTCTAGTCACGGGTCCTCCTTGCTAGAAGTATCTTTCGGGGCTGCCTGCTCTCTCCGTGCAGGAAGGGGTGATCTCCCTTTTCACCAAAAGCATACTTCCCACAACACAAACATACACTCAGTCAATCACCAACACACTTTAAATGTGCACAATCCAAAATACACACAAAATGTCACTGTTCCCCACAGCCTAAACGCACCAAAACAAAATCTGTCCACTCATACAGACTCACAGCCTGAGCACACACAAGCAGCCGCCACTACAGAAGCCACTGATCCTCCATGACTCGGGATGCAGCCTAAATCACAAACAAAGCTCTCAGAGGTGGCTGCAGTACTCCAGGAGGGCTCACAGCAGAGCAGAAGGGTGGTGAAATCTCCTCCTTCAAGCTGCTGGGCACCCTCCTTTGGAGGCACGTGGATGACTCATATCCAGCCTCTCATCTAGCAGCAGCCACAAGTCCTTCCCAGCAGGGCTGCTCTCCATCCCTTCATCCCCAGGCTGTGAGATCAGCTGGGCTGGGACCGTGTATAGCCCTTGGACAGAGCTGCTGGGTAGGATGAGCTGCCTACTGAAGGAGGCAGATCCCAATCCCCACACAATTCCACCCTGGCCATGAGGTCACAGCAGGCTCTGGGGTGACAGCTGGCTGAGGTCACAGCAGGCTCTGAGGTCACAGAGGTCCCAGAGCCCCATGGATGCACAGCATCACACGGACCGAGCAGTCAGTCCTTGACTGCGACTGTTGCGGCAGCAGCAGCGGCGACAGCAGCAGCGGTGCTGACATTGGGACAGCGGTCTCAGGACAGTGGTGGCAGCAAGAGCTGCAGGACTGGCAGTGGGCAAGGCACCATGGCCTTTGCTCTGCGCCTCCTCCTTCTGCTCCTCCTGGCAGTGGCCCTGCCTGACAGGGCTGCCCAGGCTGCTCCACAGCGAGCATGGAGAGCAGGTGAGCAGGTGGCCTGGTTCCCCTTTCCCTGGACGGTGCTCCTTTCTCTCTGAGAAGCGTTTGGGATGGTTTTCCCCAGGGCATAAGGGAGGGTTTCCTCTATGGAGGGAGAGAGTCCCCAGGGGCCCCAGGCTGGTCCTGTCAGGGCCCAACCAGGGATGTTGCACAGGGCTTGCAAAGAGGATGGAGAGACACCAGAGCCAGCCCAGAGCTCCCCAGGCCCCTCTGCAGCTCTGGCCATGTCTCTTGAAATTCGGCTCCCACGGCCTTACCCAACCCACTTGCAGTGCCCAGTTCCCTAAGGCAGAAGGGGATCCCAGCACACCATGGACTGGTTCTGATATCTGCTTCCTTCTAGAGTGGTATCATGATATGCAATATCTGGGATCCCTGGCACAAGACGGTTTGAGATCCATGGAGAATGCTGGAGGCAAGTTCTCAATGTCCCCTTCAACACAGAATAATCAGTGTCCAAGTGGCAAAAACTCACTCATGTGCTATTTCTCTTAAGAGTCTGAAGGTTGCTGGATTGTGGAAACCTCACCCTGCTCCCTTCTGGAGCCCTGAGTGATCCCACAGCATCGCTGTCAGTGGGAGGAAGGAGAATTTAGATGTCAGTTCTCTTCCCATGTGCAATGCCAGTCTCTCCTTCCATGTGCTCTGTGCAGCCATGGAGAGGAGCAGAGAGGGAAGGGGCCGGGCCCAGGGCTGGGCCCTGGGGCTGTGCCTTATGTGGCTCCTTTACCAGCCCTAGGAAGCCTGAGCTGCTCCCGCTGCCGCTGCCAAGCCCTGGCCCTGCCTGGGGCTCAGTTCAGAGCGGCTGGCAGCTCCAGGGTGATTTCTCCCCTGACTGCCATGCAAGGGGCTCCTTCCATCCCAGTGTGGGGCCACTACAGGCATGTGGTCCCCCTGCCCCTGCTCCTGAGTGGAATGTAGCGATGAAGGAGTGCCTTGGAGGGCAGCAGTCACCCAGGTGCACTCCCTGCCACTCCAGACTGAATGAGAAATGGAACTACTTTCCATTCAGGTCCTCCCAGATGGATGAACCAAGACAAAGAAGATGAGAAATCCCTGGAGGCATCCCGACATCTGGGCAAGATGTTAAATGATCTGGAGAGACGCCATGGTGGGTGCAATTCCCTCAGCAGCTGGGGGCTTTCACTGCACATCTGGACACGCCGTGCCCGGCACAGCAGGAAGGGATCCATGGCAGCCTCACTGCCCTGCTGCTGCTTTCACAGCCTGCAGGGCTGTCTCCCAGCCTGGCCTGGCTGCAGCTTCTCCCCAGCTTCTGCAGGAAGGCATTTGGCATCAGCTGACAGGGAGCCCAAACTGCAGCACAGGCCATGCACACTCTGAGATCCCCTGCATCGGGGTAGGCATACCCTGTCTCGGGGTAGATCAGGTGTAGGGGCTGTTTGGAGGAAGGCAGGCCCTCGCTAATCCCAAAAACTGATACACTTTCCCAGTCTTTATCCATGACTTTGACCATTCATGATGATGTCACCTCCCTGGAAGGGGAGCAGTTCCGTCTGATCATCTGTATCTCTTCTTTTATCCAGAGATGAAGAAAATGGCTTTGCTGAAGACGGTGTTTCCTGGAGGAAGCAGTGGTTCACTGGCAGCCTCTGCTGCAGGAAGGGAGGCCATGCCAGGCACAGTCCCAGGAGGTAATTGCTGTGCCTCTGGGCCTGAGCCCTGATGAGGCTTGAGCTGCCATCGCTGCTGTTTGGCAGTGCCTGCCCTTCAGGGATGTTGCACAGAGCATGGAAAGGGTGTTGAGAGTGACCAGGAGGCAGCCCAGAGCTCCCCTGGCCCCTCTGCAGCTTTGGCCATGTCCATTGACATCTGGCTCCCACAGCCTTACCCAGCCCCCTTGCAGTGCCCAGACCCCAAAGGCAGAAGTCGATCTCGGCATACCATGCAATGGTTCTGATCTGTGCTCCCTTCTAGATGAAATTGATGAAATGGATTCTTCAGCAGCTGGGATGGAAGATGGTTTGGAACCATTAGGAGGTTCAGCAGGTAAGTTCTTAACTTCTGCTCAGAGCACAATCATTGACAATCTGTCAAGAAACAGGTGACAGACAATTCTGTGGCTGTTGAGTTACAGGTGTATCTGCAGAGAGGACTTACCCAGCTCCTTTCCTGATTCCTGCACCCAAGCCCGTCTCCCACCACAGGGGTAAGTAGTGTGTCCCTGCTGACCCCACAGGCTGAACCCTGGTTTGTGGGACACATTCATTTGAAATGGAAATACTTTCTATTAAGGTCCTCCTAGCGGAAGAAACAAACCTACCGAAGATATTAAATCCCTGGAGACATCGAAACACATGGACGAGATGCTGAGTGGTCTGGAAAAACGCCATGGTGGGTGCATTTCCCTCAGCAGCCGGGTCTTTCTCTGCACATCTGGACACGCCATGCCCAACACAACAGGAAGGGATCCATGGCAGCCTCGCTGCCCTGCTGCTGCTTTCACGGCCTGCAGGGCTGTTTCCCAGCCTGGCCTGGCTGCAGCTTCTCCCCAGCCTCTGTAGGAAGGCATTTGGCATCAGCTGACAGGGAGCCCAAACTGCACCATGGGCTATGCACACCCTGAGATCCCCTGCAATCTCCTGGTCTCGGGGTACATCAGAAAGGGCAGTTTTAGGAGAAGGGAGAGTCTTGTGTCAGCCGAAAAAGCCTTGGACATTTCCTGATCTGGAAAACATGACAAAGACATGGATATGTCCTTGAAAAGTATTACTTCCTGAAGAAGCCACCTCCCTGATGGGCAGTAGTTCCATCTGATCCAGCAGTGCTTCTTCCTTTCTCCAGAGATGGACCAAAAGTCTTTGCAGAAGGCAGAACTTCCTGAAGAATGCAATGGCTTTGTGCCAGATCCCACTACACAAAGGGAGGAGATACCTGACAGTGCCACAGAAGGTGATTGCTGTGCCAGACTCAGCCAGGCTGAGCGGTCCTGCTGGGGTCCCTCCGTGTGAGACACATCCCGAAACCTGGGAGCGGCTGCAAGGGGTGACCACGGTGGGGAAAGGGCAGAGGAGGAGGCCAGGGCTCCAGTGTGTCCTGACAGGGTCTGGCTCTGTCCCCTTGGGCTGGGGGAGCTGTCACAGAGCAGGGAGGGTCAGGGATGGCTGTGGCTGCTCAGGGATGGCTTTGGCCTGAGTCCCTGGAAGGAGCCACTGCCCAAGCGGCTGCGCTGTCCCTGGGCTCTGCTCCCGGCCTTCTGGGCTCTGTTGGGTGGCACAGCCTGTGCCAAGGGGCAGCAAGGTGCCTGCAGGCCCCAGCTCTGGGGCAGAGAACGTCCTGGCTGTAACCAGCATGCTGCCAGCTCACAATAGGAGCACAGCACGGGCTCACACTTCCCATTGTTCCCACAGATGTTATCACTGAAACAGGAGTATATGTTGAGGATGCAGTGCGCCTGCCAAGAATTGTCTGCCCGCAGGACATCTGCAGGTCCTGCATGATAGGCACAGTACTGACAGTGTTCACTGTGCCCCTTGTCCTGATATTATCCTATTTTGGGATCCAGAAACTCTACGAGATCAGACGGTAATTTGTTGATTTTTCTCCAGGGTTTTCTTAAAATTCTGCTCATAGCACTGGTAGCCTGATTAGTAGTCATGCTGCTGCGCATTTGTGGGTAGTCCTTGGTAGCCCAAATAACTCTGCTGAGAGTTCTGCTGCTGCCCAGGCCTTTCTTTGGCCTCTTCACTGCGGGGCCTTGTCCTGGGGAGCCCGCTCGGGCTGCAGCCAGTGCTGGCTGCCACTGAGGCTGCCTGGCCAAGAGCAGCCCCAGGAACAGCGGGCAGAGGCAAAGCAAGTTCACAATATTTGACAATCATTTCATGATAGGACAGAGGTTATTTAAGAGCTCATGTAAAGTTTCATGGTAACAGTGATGTTACTGGACAAGCAAATTTGCTACAATTCAGTGTTAAAACCAATCCAACCTGATGAAATTTTGGCTTTGGCCTTGAGACTTTGCTCTTTGTGTGAGCCCTGCTCTGGATTGACTCCCAATCCGTCTTGGAGCCAGTTCTGGGTGAAGGCTCATCCGAGACCTGACCCTTGGCAGATTTGGGCTCCAAGGGGCAGCTGAGGCTGCACTGCATGTGACTAGGCTGCATGGCTCCAATATAAAGGGCTTTGAAAAGTGTAAATTACTATATTTTTACTACATAGCTTTGTGTATGAAATTAATTCACTTATTTGAAACCTAGTTTTAAAAATCTTCTTTTCCAGTTCTTTCTCCAGTTATTTGATATAGTTTGTTATTATCCCATGGCAGAATTACGAGGCTGTAAGTACTATAAAATGAAATAATTTTTACACTCTTTTGTCTTTCACAGACTGTTCAAACTTATGTAGGCTTTGTCAGGAAAATTAATCCACGAACACCAGAGGTTTATGTCCAAAAAGGAGACAGAGGAGTCCTTTTTCTTTATTCGAATAAAGGGAGAGACCATGGGGCATTCCCCTGGGATCTCTCAAATTTTTGGAGGGCGCAGCCTCCTTTTTATCCTAATTCCCGGCCGCTTGTCCCTTCTCCCTTTCCCCATAGGCTGAGGTACTTGAGAGGTACAGGCTTCCCGGAACGCCTGATACCGGCGGTGATACCTTCCCCCCCCCACCCCCAATGCATAATCCCTTCTTAACTTTTATGGAATTCATAGTGTTCTTTCAGTGCCTCTTTGATCTTCTACTGGAATCCATCTCATTGTTTCTGTCATCTCTCACTGATAGCTACATCTTATCAACTGACCCACAGCTTGTTTGTAAAGACAAGCTCATCATTCCTCTCAATCCCTCCTCTTTTAATTTCTGTTAATAATTGTCTTTACAAACTTTAGTTATCATTGACCTAATTTCTTGTTCTTGGCTCTTTTTTGGCTTTGCAATTATTTGCAGTGGCATTACTTTCTGCTTTTTTGTAGCTATCTCTGGATCAGTAGGCACGGCTACTACCTACATTCCTTTGATCACATGTTGAATGAGTTGTATTAAGCAAGGGATCATGCATGGTAAAAAGATTAGAGTTGCTACAACACATAAGAGGAAAAAAGCATTTGTTTGACTTACAGGCTACCAGGTAAATATGAAAACATGTCCCATTCCCATCCTTTCCATGTTTGGACCGGTACATGGGCTAACTTTCTTATTCCTTTTGTTATTTGTTTTACCATTTTTCCATTGTCATCTATTTGCAAACAGCAGTTTGAGTCATTCAATTTTCCACACACCCCCCCTTCTTCTGCTAATAAATAGTCTAATACCATCCGATGTTGAAATATTGCATTTCTCATCTGAGTATACTGGTCAGCAAGAAGGTCAAGAGCTGTAGCTGTCTGGTTGATTATTATTTCAAAGACAGCTTGCAACCTAATTATCCGATTTAGATTATAAATGGGTTCTCTGGCACCTGATATTAATTCATTTGGGTTCCAGGTAGCTGGTCCATAGTGTTGTATGATTTGTTCAGGTGGCCATTCATCTTTTCCCCACTTTTGGGTGCTCCTTCCAACCAGGGATGTATCAATGGACCGCTTCTCTCTAATTAGATCATCATATACTTTGATTCTTAACTGATTTCCTTGAACTTGTGGTAGCAGAAAGAACAATGGTCTAATATACCCCACATAACATATTCCTGACCAGTTTGGAGATAGCCTGCGGTAAGCATTTTGGCCACAAATCCAGTAATGCCCCTTTAGAGCCCAGGTCCCATTAGTGAAGGGACCTTTCCAATTTTTATCATCAACTGGTGGGTCAAAATACAGCTTGC